AACAAACCCAGGTGGTTGCTCCATATATACCTCCTCCATAAGGTCACCATGAAGGAAGGCATTTTTAATGCCAAGTTGAAACAAGGGCCAATCATACATAACTGTCAGGGAAATTAAGACACGGACAGAGCCAATCGTAGCCACTGGAGAGAAGGTCTCCATATAATCCACCCCATACAACTTGTGAATAACCTTTAGCAACAAGTCTGGCCTTTAGACGCTCCACACTACCATCCAAAAAGAATTTAACAATTTACACCCATTTACTACCCACAACATGCTTACCAGGAAGAAGAGTAGTGAGCTCCCACGTGTGAGTATGCTGAAGAGCAAAGAGTTCCTCCTCCATTGCCTGCCGCCCCCCAGGTGAGCTAAGAGCCTCTTGGACATTCGTAGGTATATAAATAGATGACAACAGTGAAACAAACTGGCGATGTGAAGCGGAAAGGCGAGTGGCTGAAACAAAATTGGAAATGGGATGGAGGGTACAACTACGTTTACCTTTCCGTAAAGCAATGGGAAGATCAAGTCTTGAAGGTTCTGTGACAGAAGCAACAACAGGATCCGCAGACAAGGTAGAAACTAGAGGAGGAGCCGGTGTCTGACGATGAGTATACACGTGCCGGATTGGTGGTCGTTCATTAGGGATCTGCACTGAAGGAGGTGAAGGGTGAAACCCAACTGGAACACCTAGAACGGGATCACTGTCACAAGTATGGGGTGTTTTCTTCCAAGGATCAGTTTGGAAAGAGTACAAATACAAATATGTACAGTGCAAATACATTCAAAATATAAGGTTTTGCATTACCATTGTTCTGCTTCCAGAAGAATGTAATCAACCTGATTAAACAGAGAAAGAAAAGCACAAGGAAAGGAGTTTGAATATGTGAAATGAAGAATAATAAACAATTTGCTTATTATTCATGTCTCTGTTGTGTACAGAAAATGGGAACAAATTTGGAAAGAAATGTCCTATCAGCTGCTGCAGAAGACCGCTTCTGGACTTCAAAATTATTAATTTCGAAGACAAAAATGGTTCCGAAGGACTCGATAGATGGTTGAATTTGTAAGCACCACCTAAAAAAAAAAGCTCCTAAAGTAACGGGACCCTACCTAAATACTCCAGGTTCCGTTTCTGCTGTGGTTGTAACCAGGTCCATACAGAAAAGAAAACGGCTGGCTGCACAATGCCAAGAGATAAAATAATGTGCAGAGTAATGCAAACAGTCATTTGGAGATGCAATGAAAATGGACTTAGCAGATGTGCCCTGTTATTTTTGAATTTTGAAGATTGTGACAAGATGTTAATGAAATGATTTCAAGCATCTTTGTAAATTCGAGAATTGATCCCATCTCATTGTGATAATGATTTAAGGCCTGCCTCTAAATCTTCCAAGGTAATAGTGAGTAAACCATCTGTGTCACTACAGTCAAAATCAAGCCTAAGATCCAA